ATAGAAAAAATAGCAATTTCATAAGAAAAGATGGTTACATCCCTTGAAAAACTGGTTCCATCCTAGGAAAAGCTGGTTGCATCCCACGAAAAATTCCAAAGTCGAACTGAGACACATTTTCAAGAGTTGGAATAACAAGAAAGATTACTTTCTCAAACGGAGTTAAATCTAAGAAGAATGTTAGTGCCATCATACTCCGAAGTGGAACAATCGTGTCACCCAAAGTTCCAAAAGAAAAAGTTGCACATTAGGAAGAACAAGAAGAAATGCCACCTCCAGAAATACAAGGTACATCTGACGCACACCCTCCTTCTTCTTCTCATGAAATCGTGCCACCCTTCCCATCAAGGTTGTTAAAGTTTGATAAAAGAGCTGAAGAAAGGGAGATCATAGAGGTGTTTTGAAAAGTTCAAGTTAATATACCTCTTCTTGAAGTAATTCGACAAGTACCGAGGTATGCTCAATTTTTAATGGAGCTTTGCACTATAAAGAGGAAATTAATAGGGCATAAAAAGGTAAATTTGGGACAACATGTTTCCAGAAATTTTTAACGAAAGCTCCCACCAAAGATGAAGGATCAAGGTATGTTCTCCATACCTTATAAAATATGTAATTTTAAAATTAAACATGTAATGTGTGACTTAGGATCTTCAATTAACGTTATGTTATTTTCTATTTATAAAATGATTACTAACGAGCCTTTGAAGGAAATGGGAGTAACCATACAGTTGGCTAATCGACCCGTGATCTATCCAATAGGAATGATGGAAAATGTCTTAGTGAAGGTCGATGTAATTTTTTCCTGCATATTTCTATGTCATTGACATAAAACATGATAGGTCTGATACTTATTCCAAAGTACTCCTAGGCTGACCCTTCCTAAGCACCGCACATACAAACATCGATGTTAGAAGTGGTATACTGACAATGAAATTTGATGGTGAGATCGTTGAATTTGATGTTTACAAAGCAATGAAATACCCAGATTGAGGTGAAAGAATTAATTATGTTGATATTTTTTATCCTTTAATTGATGAATATATTGAATCTAATCTTTCCATGGCTCTTGAACTTTGCCACAAAGAGGAAAAAAGGGAGTTTGAAAATATTTTTTAATCAATTCTTATTTATTTTTACCTTCCTCTAAAACTAAAATTTTACCTTTTGTTTTATAGGCACCTGAGGTAAAATTGAAACAAATGCCGAAACACTTAATGAATGCCTTTTTAGGAGATAATGCTACCTCACCGGTTTATTATTTTGGATAAGTTTTCAAAGCTAAAAAGGATCCGAAGAAAAGCCTATGAGAAAGCCAAAATCTACAAGAAAAAAATAAAAGGATTATACGATCATAGAATTTCTCATAAGGAAGTTCTTAGTTGGAAAAATGTATGAAGTGGAGGAAGTATTTCTCTCAAAACCTATAGTCTGAATCAGGTAGTCAAGTTAACAACGTTAAAAATAGCGCTTAATGGGAGGCAAAACATTATTATTTTTATTTTTTGTTTGTTCAATTTTTATTTTTATTGTTAATTTTATTTTTATGATTTATTTTTGTTTTTAATTTTTTTTTTTGATATTTTAGGTACACCGTTATTCCTACTTGAATTTTAAGCAAGATAGAATCAAGAATTTATCAAATCGAAAGCGAAAAAATGGCAAAAAGCTCGACCCTAAGGCTGAAGAGATCGTGTGGCAACAAAAAAAGGAAGAATCATTCGAAAAAAAGGAAGCAGAATTTTGAAATACACTATTCAGACAGTGCAGAAAAACTGATTTGGTTCGAACACTGCAAAAAAATACACAATAGATTCGAGCATTGCAGTGCAGAAAAAAATAGATTTGGTTCGAACTGTGTAGAAAAGTTCGAAAAGAATAGTGCAGTGTAAAAAAAAGCAGTATAGTTTTTGTTCGGAATAAAAAACACATCATAACAATTTTGGTTTGAACTATGAAAAAAAAAGAAAAAAAGGATAAAGCTTGATTGAGTTCTTTTCTTGAAGTCTACTTCCTTTAGAATGAAATCTTGGAATGATATATCTTTTCTTGATTTTTGTTTTACAGAAAATTTTAATATATCTTCTAGTGTCTTCTCGATCGGACAATCTACTCTACAATAGTTCGTCTCGTCGTGGCCGCTACCGCGGTCGTCATTAAATCAAGGGAGTATTTTTGTTCCCTCTCTTGTGCTTTAATATTCATATTGGGATAATATGGTCTACGCGAGGGGGTAGAATTTGCTATCAAAATTTTTCGCTTGCTTATTTGATTGTTTGGAATTAAGTTGTTCTGATATTGATGTGTTGGAATCTTTAGTTGCTTATCTTGAAATTTACTTTATACTTTTGCTTCCTTTGGGATTGTGACCATGTTTTGATCGAATTTAATTTGCATGATGGTGATTTGTATAGCTGGTGAATTTTTGGAATTGTTAAGTAAAGTTATTTCATTCTTTTGTTGATAGAGATGAACTTGACTCAGTTCATATAAACTTTTCTTGTGAGATTCAAGCCTAACGAGCATACATTTTCTTTCTTTCTCATTGTTTGATTTGAGCGTGCCATACTAATTAGAATATTCTAGAATTTGTAATCACAATGCATATCGAGACTACATGTTGAGCATAATGTTTTAATGTGATAAGGGCACCTAGGATAAACTCACTTTTGCAAAAAGCCTACCCATTTACATATCCACTAGTGAACCACATTTGAGCCTATTTCCATTTCCTTTTTTACACCTCATAATTAAACCCAAAGCGTTTCTTTTTATTTTCCTCTCTTTTCACACCCTTACTGATACTTGAGATCTTGTATCACTCTTGTTCCACGAAAAAAAAAGTTGAAAAAAATTGTTCATTGTTTCAAACAGCAAAAAAATGTACACTGTTTTGAACAGAAAAAAGAAAAAAAAAGGAAAATTGATTGTTCCAATTGCCTTTCATTTATTCTTTGTCCTTGTTTTATTATGCTTCATGTTAGTTCGTGGATTGTTCCTAATTGTATTAATCTCTTGTCTTGGTATTTAACCCGATCATCATGGCCTTTTCCCTACCCTAACCTAAGCCCGTTACACCATGTTTAAAGACCCCTTGATTATTGCATTATGTTCACTTTTAGTAGTGGAGACTTGATTGGATTCCAAGCCTATGGTAATATTTTGGTTAGTTTCGGTTTGAGTGATTTCATTTACCCCAAACACTTTGAGCGGATATGTGTGAATCTTTGTGATATATTAAGTAATGTTTCATTGAAATTAACAATTAATTGGGATATCTTGCTTACTTTAAATTTTCTTAGTTTTGTCTTTGCTTGATTGTAACTTGAATTCGGCAAATGTCATGGACTTAGTTCGATTGGAAATTTGAGAAATAAATTGAAATTGAAGATGGCAACTTATGATTTTTGATATGTTAATTGTGGAATGCTTGAGGACAAGCATTGAATAAATGAGGCGAAATTTGATAAGTGCTTTATTTAGTTACTATTTTGTTTTTAAATTGCTCCGTAATCATTGGTTTATGTGGCTTATTTGTTAGTTTTGATTCATTTTTAGTGCAGGATGCTAGATTATGGAAATTGCACTAAAAGGATAGAATTCTACAGTTTTTTTAAAATTTTTGGAATCAAGGTTGGATTAGTGGGCATGACTTTGGGCATGAAACATCTGATGAGGTGATGATGTCAGCACCTTCTAGAAAGTCCAGTCAGCACTTCTAGAAGAAAGAATGGATCAGCCGCATGTTTCTATAATTCAGATTTAAATTAAACTCATGTTTTAGGATATTATTTTCAATATTATATTTTATCTTATCTTTGTTTTAGGTATTTTAGTTTAAATAGTTTTAAGTATTTTAATTAGGATTTATTTTCTTTATTTTAGGATTATCTTTACCTTGTTTTCAGGATTTTGAAGGTTATAAATACCCTCTCAGGGTAAGCCTACAAACACATCTCTTAACAATTGATAATACACTCTTCTTCTTCTCTCTAGCTTTATAAAAAAATTCTCTTTTATTTCCTTTCAAGTTTTCGAAATTTTTTATTTTATTTTAAAGTTTTGTTTTCAAATATACTAAGTACGACTCTGGTCATGCTTAGCTAATTTTATTTTAAGTCAAAGGCTAAAGCGAAGGCTCAATTCCAAACGTGAGAGATGTAAGGCACTTAAATCGCTTCAGATATCTCTCTCTGTTTTCTGGACTTATTTTCAAATTAAAATGATTTTCAAAACCAAAAGCCGACATTTGTCTAGATGTTGTTATGGTTAACATGCGAGGAAGGATCAGCTTATTGAAGTACATTCAACTTCCTATGAACACACTTAGCAAAATTGTTTGCTAAGATGAAACTGAGATCGCAATCAGTTATTATTGAAACAACATAATCCGAGTCGGCAGCTTTTTGAACTTCAACGTTTTAAAGATCTAGAACATTATTTGTGCTTAGATCAACTCACAAACCGAAATTTAAGAGTGCACTTGGATATTCAGTATACAAAGCAGTCACAAGGATTTGTCCTTGCAGACAAGTATCCGACGTGAATCTTAAAGTAAAAATCTATTTTGATGATCCGAGGAATTTGAGGCAAAGTTGAAGCCTGAGATTGTTCTTACCATAAGTCTTCTTTATCTCAATTTATTTTATTTATTTATTTGTTTATTTAATCTTTTTCACATTTTATTTCTTTAAACAATTTAAAAACTCCCCCTTTTTATCTTTATCATTATCTTATAATCATCATTTTATTATTTTATCCTTATCTTCCCTTTTAAAAGAATTATATTTATTTATTTTATTATTTTATTCTTATCTTTTTATCTTTATCTAAAAAATATATATTTTCTCCTAAATCAAAAAGTCCACTAAATCAGAAACACCAGAGTCCCTGTGGATCGACCCTGCTTCTCTATTATAATCTCTCTCTCTCTTTTTACTTATTAAGAAGCCAGAATTATTTTGATAGCAAAACGACAGTTATCACTCTCCCCACTCAATATATCACTCCCTTTTCCAGCCCCTTGAATTGCTACGAGCATAATTAATTGCAAGAGATGGATCCAGCCCCAAAGAAGATAGCTGCCTGCCCATTCTCTCTGTGTTAAACTGTATATCTGTGTCAAATTTTCTTTGTACAACAGGCCAACTTTCTGCGCTTCTTTTCTTCATTATATGTTGTTGAATAAGCAAGCTTTTTTTCCTAATCTCAGCTTCACCATCCATCTCAAAGTCATCACCTTTTTCCTCCGCTTGCAGAAGACCCTTATCACGCTCCAGCTCTTCAAGTCTTAACAAGATATTTAGGTCAATAAATTCATACACATTGTGACCATCTAGAAATTCAAGCAGTACATCCTCTTTCCATTCGTCATTTGCTAATAAATAGTCATTCTTCAAGCTATCAGAGAATACACCAGCACCACTATTCTCCTCCTCCAAATCCTTTTCATTTTTTCTCTTCTTCTCCTCTGTTGCTTGCGTAGCTTTAGCTCCCAAAATTGCCTGAGGTATGCAAGGAGGCCTATCCTTCTGATCTCGTGGTTTAGGTAGTGCAACATGAAACCTATTAAGGCAGTCATTTTTTCTATTTCATTTTTGATTCAACCCTTTGATTCAACAACCTTTCACAAGCAGAATTCTTCATAGTAATTTCCCCATCCTTAGTCAAAGTGCTCATAGTCAATAGCACCCCTTCTTCATTTTTAGGCTCACCTCCTTGACCAATCACTGTCTTCAAGGCTTCAGATTTCATCTCCATGACCAACTTCCTATCTTCCTCATATATGCCATCAAATGACTGCAGATCAGTCTTATTGCAAACAATGATCAAGGGTTTGTTCATGAAGAGAGATTTAATGCTGTGAAAAAAAACTGCTTGTTGGGCAATGTTATACCCACATGACCCAAATATATCCAAAAAGAACAACAATATAGCTCGTAAGTGAGCCAATGCTGTAATACTGCACATCTCAATAATGTTTCGATCTTCAAATGATCGGTCCAAAATTCCAGGTGTATCATTTACTTGATACTTGAGGTACTTGTTATGTTTTTATTGTCTAAAGATATTTTAACATGGTTTGATTTAGAAGTTTGAGCTTTTTGAAATCGGTTTAATCCAACCTTTTTAAAAGAAGCTTTGAGATCATAAGTTCCTTTTAATTATCATAATGAACCATAGAAAGTAAGTTATGCAAATCTTGATATTTCTTTTCAAATTAATCAAGTTTGATTTCCATATCTTTCATCTTACACCCAAGCTCATTATTGGTCTTAACTAATTGATCATTTTTGTTTTTCAGTTTTGAAATATGTTTCTTATTCTTTGAAAGCATGATCTCAAATTATAAGGCAAAATCATCATAGACCTCTTGTAGTTCATCAAAAGAATATTCATTTAAATTAGATGAACTAGAGGTTACCATAGTTTCTCCCTCGATGGCCATAAGACACAAGTTGGTTACTTCTTATTCTTCTTCATCGGAGAATTCTTCATTGCTCCATGTAGTTAAATGTGTTTTTTTGTGCGTTCTTGGTTGACCACTTCTTCTTCAATTGAGAACACTTAAACTTGATATGTCCCTTTTTCTTGCACTTATAACAAATAAAGGGGTCCTTCTCCTTAGATTTTTTGAAGCCCGTATTTATTTGAAATCTTATTCCTTTGTTGGACTTCATGAATCTTCAAAATATTTTGGTAAACATTATCATTTCTTCATCTTCTTCCTCGATGGAATCACTTTCTTCCTTGGTGAACTTGAGAGCAATCCCAACTTTCTTCTTCTCCACTCTCTTCTCTTCATCATTCTCGAGTCTTATCTCATGGGTGAGAAGAGACCCAATGAGCTCATCAATTGTAAAAACTTCGAAGTCATTGACAAGATATTAAGAATTTTTCTCATAATTTATTTATTTATTTGTGTATAATTTCCCAAAGGCCTTCAACTCATTGATGATAGTGGTAAAATAATCTGACATGGTCTTGTTGTCTTCATTGGCCTTCATTTTGAAATTATCTTAATTAAGTGTGATAATTCCAATCTTCGATTTCTTCATTTGAGTTGTACCCTCATGTGTGACTTTAAGCTTATCCCAAATATCTTTTGGATTTGATCAAGAAGACACCCTACTATACTCAACGGGGCCTAATGCACAAAATATGATGTGCAAAGCCAATATTAATCGATCCATTCCAACTTGACCTTCTGTACAACTAGCTCTCCTTGATTCTTGGAAGGGATTTACGCTCCGTCGGTAATAATATCCCACATTGAATAATCAGTGGTTTGAATGAATTTTATCATCCTATTATTCTAATAAGAATAGGTGGCACCATTAAAATACGGAGGCTTTGAGATGAATTGAGACTCACCAAAATTTCGAATGTAGATGGAGTGACCATCGAATGGGAGATGAATGGTTTCTTCCAAGGATCTTGTCAAGAGGATGTTAAGTCTTCTAATGAGATTAGCTTTGATATCAATTGTTGAGTCAATCAAGATGATGAAATAGCCAAGTTGGGGGTGAATTGACAAATAAAAATTTGGTCAATGCTTAAAGTAAAAATGTAAAATTTGAAAACAAGATTTTAGAGTGGTTCGACTTTTAAACCAAAGTCTACATCCACTACCTTAGCTATCAACACTAAGGATTTTCACAAATTCAGTAAATTGTATATACTTTTAAGGATAAGGTGTAACTTTACAACTCCCTCAAGAATTATACCTCAAATTCTTGAGACACTCTCTCAAAGAGAAAATTATAAATTGCAAACATAGAAAACCTCACTAAGAATCTGTTTGCAAAATTTAAGAGCAAATAAAAACACTTGAGAAACAGAAACAAATGACTACAAAAGTGTTATATGAAAGCATAAAGAATATTCAAGAATGTTGACTTTGATTTTCGCTCGATGTGATTGCTTTATCTTTCTCTATGATCTATTGTCTTTACATAAGACTTTGAATCTTCTTTTTATACCTCTTTCATTCAATTCTAGCCGTTTGGGTTGTTGTGGGAGTTAATAGAGTCGTTGGGATAAAATTTCCCGCAATGAATGTTTCCCATATGCCTTGAGTCTTGGACTTGAAGTATCAGTACTTCCTACATTAAATGCAAATATCTAGTCGTTGGTGAGAGGGGAGTATCAATACTCCACTTAGAGTATTGATATTCATATAGTATCGGTACTAAAATAGCCTACTAGAATTGGTATTTTTCAAAAACCTAAAGAGAGGGAGTACCGATACTACTATGTAATTTTAGGCCATTAGTATCAGTACCACATAAATAGTATCGATATTTTTCTTAGTGTATTAGTATTGTAGGGCTAAAAATTGATTTTCGACTTGATTAAAATTCAAAACCCTTTGTAAAAAAGTTTAAAAGTTGATTTTAGTATATGACTTGAATTTTCTAAGATTAAGAAGTAAAACTGGAGTTTTGAAACTTAAAAAGAATTTTCTATATTCAAACGATCGAATTGAATATAAACTTAAAATCTAGATTAAAAATAATCTTAAAATTTCTTTGAAAGATTGATATATCAAAATAGCAAAGCATGGTTTAACAGTGTTACTTATAATTTAAGAGATAAGGAGTCATTCATCGAGGTTAGTCCGTAGCAGTAAACGACGTAGAAGTGATTTTTTCCAAAAAAAATTGAAACAATTCCTCCCACCACTCGACATAGGCGACATCAATGAAGGAAAGCCAAGTACCATTTGAGAGGAATTATTACAAAATCAGTCTTTATATTATTTAGAAATTCAAAAATCTATATCCAATTCTTATAAAATTTCAATTTAGCCCTAAATTAAAATACTCAAAAAGTTAACCCCCTACTTTCGAGTGTGACATGCAAATTTCTCTCTAAGTCTAATACTTTTGTATCTTTATCCGTTATGTGTGCTGGATATCCATACATCGTAAGATGAATTTGGTTAGTCTTTCAATCATTTTCATCTCAAATGAAGTTTTAGGTGCAAATTTGATCGATACATCGATCAGAAGATAGCAAGTCATTTGCAGTGCATAACCTCAAAGCTTACCGATAATAATTAATTTCATCTACTACTTTCGTCATGATTAATCTGGACCGATCCAGGACGCATATTTAGTTTTGGTGGACGAGTCTCCAAGCGAAGATTTTTTTGCATATACAAGGACTCGAATCTAAGACCATGCTTAAGCGCTATCAAGCAGCTTACCACTTGAAACAAACCTCGTTGATATTTCATCTTCACTTTATTAAAATAAAAAAGTAGTCTTTTTATTTTAATTTATTAGAATTTGATCTTTGTAGTTTATAAATTTATAAAATCAGTTCAATTGAATATTATCAAACATTGCTTTTAAATCATTCACATGAAAAATTAATAGTTCAATAATTTATATGTAATGAACTTTAAAAAAATAATCATTCAAGAATTTGTTTATGTAAACAAATTAATTAAAAAAAGCATTTTCAAAGTTCACGTGTTTAAAGACAGTTAAGTTAATTTCTCAATTTTTATAAAGCAGAAGGATCAAATTCTCACAAAAGTGAAGTAGAGGGATACAATTAAGAATTAGATCTATCAAAGCCTGGGTATCCATTCGGGAGATTTTTGGAATTTACCGGATGCTATAAAATCAATACCCTAGTGCCGCCTACTCACTTTGTTGAGGCTGACAAAATTGGCTATAAAAACTAAAACCCTAGTGTCGCCTCCTTCTCGATCTTCACTTCATCCGGGTTTACAAATCCGTGAAGCTTGTTCCTCGAGGGAAATTTTCAGTTGGAATATCTTTTCTTGTTCGGTTTGAAAACTGTGAGTGTTCTTCACGTTTTAAGTTTTTATCACTGAATGTCATTGCTAATTTCTAAGCCTCTGCTACAAGTTGTCTAGTTTTATTGAAGAAATGTTATTCATTATTTATCTTTGTTTTTAAAATTTAGTTGATTTATTTTTAATTTTAGTTGATTTGTGTTATTTTGTGCATAACTATTTTCATGCGTGGGATTTTGTTTATGGCTTTTATATTATTTTTCTAAAAATTTGAATCTGTCTGTAACTCTTTCTATTTACTTGCCTTTTTTCCTTGAATACAAGGAAAATTATCTCATAAAAATATGTGTTTCATTTATTTTGAAGAAAGCAAACTTTTAATCATATGTTATTAAGCAATAGCTTTAAGTTGTTGTCAAAGTTCTTTTAATTTAGCTAATCCATGTTCGTTTTACCGCAGATCAATAATAAAAATGGTTCAATATAATTTTAAGAAAATCAGTGTTGCGCCAAATGGGAAGGACTTAGTAGATATTATTCTCTCCCGTACCCAACGACAAACACCTACTGTTGTCCACAAAGGGTATGCAATTTCCCCGTCTCCGCCAGTTTTCTATGCGCAAAGTGAAGTACACCCAACAGAATTTTCATGAGAAGCTTTCAACAATAATTGAAGAGTTCCCTCGCCTTGATGATATCCATCCATTTTATGGTGATCTTCTTCATGTCCTCTATAACAAGGATCACTACAAACTTGCTCTTGGCCAAATAAATACAGCTAGGAATCTCATTAGCAAGATTGCTAAAGATTATGTCAAGCTTTTAAAGTATGGTGACTCACTATACCAATGCAAGTCCCTTAAGGTTGCTGCTCTTGGTCGTATGTGTACTGTCATAAGTCTGGCTTAACTTGAGCAGATTAGGCAAACATATGGCAAGGCTTCCATCAATTGATCCAAATACTCGGACCATCTTGATTTGTGGGTACCCTAATGTTGGTAAGAGTTCCTTTATGAACAAAATCACTAGGGCTGATGTGGATGTCCAGCCTTATGCTTTCACTACCAAGTCACTCTTTGTGGGTCATACTGATTTCAAGTACCTCAGGTATCAAGTAATTGATACACCAGGAATTTTGGACCGGCCATTTGAAGATCGAAACATTATTGAGATGTGCAGTATTACAGCATTGGCTCAC